CTCTATGTACATAGCACATGGTAATTAATATACCAGACTGGTGTTACTAACCTTGTTGGATGTTTAACAGCCAGACTCTAAGGCCTGTATTAATCTGGTCAGAGGGACTTAAAGGGACATATTTTTGTTCCTTGCCCTCCAAGGTCAAACAAGTTCAGGGGCTATGGAGCAACTCTCAAAATGTCCTGTAACTTTGGTGAGTCACCTGTCCTCTTGTTCAGGGAGGCCATGGAGACCCCAGAAGATGGACTTAAACCAGTGTCCAGTCCACAAAGAGGAGGGTCAACAAAGAGGAAACATTTCCTCCATGCTTCCAAGCGAAGCCCCGGGCAGGCAAGACCTCTTGACTTATCTTCACGTAGATGGAACTGGTAAAAGAAAAGCCTGAGGAGCCAGGGGCTCCCCCCAAAGCCCATGTGACCCCTGAGGTCCAAATCCTCATACGACCTAAGAGTAAAAATAAATTGGTTTATTTGGGCTAACAGTATAGTCTTAAACATCCAAAAAGAAAGTATAACCAAAAATTAAAGTCATTAGTATATTTTAAGGGTTCGAGGGATTACACAACCCAGACATTAGACATAAGTTCTTATGTTATTTAGACAATTATCTCTCATTGATGATTTTATTACTAGTAAGACACTACTCAGATGTAAGATTTCAAATCTTGGTCTGCAATACTGTAGTGCCCACCTAAGGGAGGCAACGCACTATTGTTCCAGCCTAAAAACTTAAATGATGGCTAAATTTGTTTTCTTTCCCTATCTAGAAGCCTTTGAGAGGTAACTGACACTGATTCTAGCCACTGCAACAGCTGTCAAAATGCCTGAAAATAAATCCTGAGTCTATCACTCTCAAGTTCAGCCCTGGCAGAAAAAATAAATAAATAAATAAAAAATGAGCTATTACCTTGGTGCTAACCATTGTTCCTTGCCTCTTCATGTATTTTCAGGACCAAAATCCCAAAACTAACTCTTACTCTCATACTAATTTTAATCAGTTGTTACTTTCCTTCCCTCCACATGTATACAAGCCCCTGTCAACCATCGAGGACCCTGTTGAGGTGCATCAAGAGGGAACCCCCACTGTCTGATAGACCCCTAATCCAGCCTCCCCCTCTGTCCAGCAGGAAGTAGCAAGACGACAATGGCACCCCCTATCCTATAATACAAAAGGCTGGAATGTTAAGGTTCAGATAGCCCCGCCCCCTCACCAACATGGTCTCAAGGATTTCTCAAGATCCTGAGAAAAGGGAACTAAGCTGATAAGCAGCCTGGTCTTTGAAGTCAAGAGAAGCAGACTTTTCTCCACTGTGTGTCAGGCTTCCCCTTTGATTTCTAAAGAGGACAGGTTTTAACAGTCCTGTTCTTCCACTTCCCCCGACCCAACTTAAAAAAAAAATACATCTTCCTGTCTTCTGCAGGAAGCAGAAGCCTCCCCCCTTAAAAAGACCCCAGCTCACGACCCGGGGCAGACATGTTCCCTGCTCAGAAGGGAATCTGTCCCACGTGTTCCTTTGCTATTAACTCTATTCTGATGGAGTTTTATCCATGTCCTGGTGCTTTCTCCTGATCAACCCTATTTGTCAAATGGCTACTTTTTATCTATCACAAGGCATCTTCAAAGGGTGCTTTATCCTACTCTGTGAGATGGGCAGAATATCTTAGAAATACAATTTTGTGGCTTTTTTTTTTTGGTCTTTTTGAGACAGGGTCTCCCTGTAGCCCCAGCTGGTCTGGAACTCACAGAGATCTGTCTGCCTCTACCTCCTGAGTGCTGGGAGTAAAGGTGTCCACCACCAGACCTGGCTAGTAATACATTTTACTAATGAGGAAATTGTAGTTAATGTTGAAAAGCAAATGTTGAGGACTGGAAGCCATATGTTTCTGGCATTAGGAATCACCGATGGTCTTTTGAATTCCCTTAGTAGCTAACACAATGCTCAGGCATGTAGCAGCTGATCAGTTAATTACATGCTTGCTGAATGAACAATTAGATTAATGAAGAGTGACTAGACATATATAGAGTTTGGTATTAATTAAAAATTAATAATCAAGCCGGGCGTGGTGGTGCACGCCTTTAATCCCAGCACTCGGGAGGCAGAGGCAGGCGGATCTCTGTGAGTTCAAGGCCAGCCTGGTCTACATAGTGAGCTCCAGGACAGCTGGGGCTACAGGGAGATCCTGTCTCAAAAAGACCAAAAAAAAAAAAAAAATTAATAATCATTAGACACATGTTGAAAGAAATGCTGGCAGCTCACATCTTGAAAATGGGTTATATTTCAAAGTTCTTACAAATCTAGGTTGAATTGTGCTCTATGCTTTGTTTTCCAGCAGAAATTTTTAAGTGGTGATTAATTCAGAAATCTGTCCATAAAAGTCCATTTAACACATTATAAAATTAAAAGCTACAGGAGAATTCATTTGAATTTTGTTTTTTTTTGGTCTTTTTGAGACAGGGTCTCCCGGTAGCCTCAGCTGTCCTGGAACTCACTATGCAGACCAGGCTGGCCTCAAACTCACAAAGATCTGCCTGCCTCTGCCTCCCAAGTGTTGGGATTACAGGCGTGTGCCACCATGCCCAGCCTCATTTGAATTTTAAAGTCATCAAACTCCACCTTTGTAACTTGGAGATAGAGGAGAAAAAGACAGATGAACGTTTGTGGAGATTCTGAGTCTTTTAGGTATTTACATGGCCTCTTTATGTTCTTCATTTCCCTACAGACCGAAGGCATCCTATTCCCTTTGAAACAAGGCAGCATTGGTTCTTCTGTTTTGTTTTCTAGTGGGGATTATGAATGTTCTTTGGCCCACATGTGAAATGGAGAGAGAGAGACTGGGAAGGTGTGCTAGCTTTAGATGTCTGTGATTACTAGCTAAGAGATGGAAGACAGAAAGAAGAAGAAGGCTGAGTAAGAAAATATGCGAGTATTGCTGAGATCAAGTGAGCTATAACTGTTGAAAGACAAAGCAAAAGGAGTATGTTGTGTGTGGGTCTTTCAGGAGAATAAGCGGGGAGGGGGAGCCCAACAGTAGGTCACAGTTTTCCACTTGGTTGCTATTTCTAATGAGCTTGAGGAAGAAAGGCGATCCTGCAGAGCATGAACTGCTGTGAATGAGCGAAGGGACGATGCCAGGGTCATTTATTCCCTGTCATGCTCAGGCACTGCTATGCTGCATGTTAAATACGGACTTTGTTTTCCAGCTTAATTGACACCTTACCCCCAAATCCGAGGAGGTAAGCATCATTAGCCCACTTTATTGAAAAAGAAACTGAGGCTCATAAAGGTTAAATAACCTGTCCCAGGTCTTGCAGAGTCAGCATGGAACCCAGTTCTGGCTGGTTTCAAAGTGTTTCCAGCGGCTGGAGCGATAGCTCAGTGGTTAAGAGTACTGGCTGCTCTTGCAGAGGACCTGGGTTTGATTCTCAGCACCCACATGGTGGCTAACAACCATTCATAACTCCAGTTCCAGGGGATCCACACCTTCTTCTGACCTCTGCAGGCACTGCATGACAGGGGTGCACTTACAAACATGCAGGCAATACACTCATACACACAAATAAAAATAATAGCTGTGGTGGCACATGCCTTTAATCCCAGCACTTGGGAGGCAGAGGCAGGCAGATCTCTGTGAGTTCAAGGCCAGCCTGGTCTACATAGTGGATTCCAGGACAGCTGGGGCTACAGGGAGACCCTTTCTCAAGAAGACCAAAAAAAAAAAAAGAAAAAGTGCTTCCATCCAATGAGTAGAGAGTGAGTGGGCTGTGGGGACAGTGCACATACTCTCCTGTTACTAGTCAGAAATTTACCTGGAGGATGGACGAAGCTGCAGAAGACGCATGACTTAGGGGGCTTATTTAGTCACCTGTCTACTTATTCCTGAGAGCCAATTAATTAACTGATTATTGAGATACTATCACCGTGTAACTCAGGGTGGCCTTAAATTTGTGATCCTTCTGTCTTAGCCTCCTGAGTTCTGAGATTACAAATACATAGCACCACATTCAACCCAAGAGCTCTTTATTCAGAAAATGTACCAGGCAGGCTCTCAGGGTGGTATGGAGATTATCCAAGGGTAGCAGGGGGTAATCTGTCCTATGTTTCTGGCAAACGGAGAACAGCCCAAAGGGGCCACAGGGAGTTGGGGACAATTGGGGGCTGTCATATGGCTTTATACTGGTCAAGGAGGGCATTATGGTGGTACTGGGAAGAGGGCCAAGGGAAAGATACAATTGCTCATGAAAACAGCACAGCAGGGTGTCCATTAGGAAGTTGGCAAGTTGCATGGGTGGAGCTCTGTAAATAGACACAGGGGTATGTGGTACTGGTAGGTGGTGAGCTGGAGGTCATTGGGGTCTGTGGAAAGTGAATTCCTATCTACAAGACATGACTGCTAACTAAAGAGGTACATTCAACAAACATCATGGAGCTTACTCTTCCAAATACACCATGTTCTGTCAAGCCTTCCCTGGGTACCTGTGTCTCAAACTTCTTTTTTTTTTGGTCTGTTTGAAATAGGGTCTCCCTGTATTCCCAGCTATCCTGGAACTCACTATGTAGACCAGGCTGGCCTTGAACTCACAGAAATTTGCCTGCCTCTGCCTCCTGGGACTAAAAGGCGTGCACCATCATGCCTGGCTTTTTTTTTTTTCTTTCAAACTTCTTAAAAATACTTTTTAGACTTGCTTAGGGATTTGAGATGCTCTTCTGCATTCTATCACTGGTGACAAACATTTATATTTCCTGAGAGGAATTTAATTCTGAGAAAAATCCAGGTCATCCAGAGCCAGGTATGGAGAGTTACACAGGTGATTAAACAATGTAATGGAGTTCTGGGTGGAAAATGATGGCTAACTGTAAGTTAATCAAGTTGACTTTTTGGTACATTATTTAAGTGCCTTTCATTATACCAAAGCCATAGCCCATATAACCTGTGTCAGTAATAGATACAACTCCCAGCCCAGACACACTGCTTGCCACAGAAGGGTTTTCTGTTTACCTCCAGTCGGCCAGTTGCTGAGTGCCTGCCATGGTCTCAGGAATCACAGTCGCATGCTGCACTGATGTATGAGTAGCTACTCCTGTTAGTTGCTGCCAGGCTGGGGGAAGCAGGATCTGTTGGGCCCCACCTGGCCAGGCCTGCTGTAGGACAAGACATTCACAGTTATCACAACTGTTAATCACCTAGTTGATGTGCAAGGGTCCAGAACTTACTCTGTAGAGAGATTGTACAAGATCTTATGATGGGTGTAGAAGTATAGGCTGGTCTCTGGTTTCACAAACCAAGCAGAGACAACAGATGAGTAAGTATAGAGCCACAGAGATATATGGAAGACATTTGTTTATCTTAAAAGATGATTTCCTTATGAATTTGCTTGGCTGAACAATCCTTGGGTTTCTAAAAATCCATTGTGGACTTGTTCTGTCATCTGTGTACAAGCGCCTAAGCCAGCTGAATTGGGTCAGATGGGGTCAGAGCCTTGCCCTCCAGGAAGCTTTCTATCTAATGTCCTAGATTTGAGACTTAGAACTTTTATTGGTTAGATGTAGTCTCCCCTTGTGGCTTTGAATCTCAGTTTATACAACTTGGTGACCATCAACTATCTGGTGCCAGCCTACGCCTGAAAGCACATGGTAAGCAGTAACACTTTTAGCTGCGACGATCAGCTTAAATGACAGTGACCTCAACTCCTGAAGACAAAGGTGAGACACTGGTAGGAACTCAAGGCTTCCATCTTCACAATACTAAAAATTTTTGTTGCTTTCTTCCTTAGACTGCTTGGTGAGTGTGCACATGTGCAATGTGCTTTAAGGTCTCTGGGCCTTCCACGTCTTCTCTGCTTGCTTTGGTCATTACATGATTCTGGCTGAACACATATGTGTCCATAGTTGGACACCTAAAAGACCACCATTAAGGTGAGATGCTTTTTGGACAGGTCAAGGATTTAGGGGCTTGTTATCACAGTTATAGCTCTCTCTTCTCATGCAGATGCACATGACTAAGATTGAACAATTTGTCTAATTAGTGGTACTCCACAGACTGGGCATGTGCTTAATATGTATGTTTGGACTCATTTATAAACAAGCACTTCTAGAAATGGACAACATTTCAAGTCAAGGCTTAAGAAGCAGTGATGCTTACAAAAATGATAGACTTATATTTCAGATCTGCGCATGTCTCGGTCCCATCATTCTTATGTTATCAGCCTGTGGGATCTGGTATACCTTTTTTGATACTGCTTGTTTGCTTACTGACCTTTTTGGATACAGGCAGGAAGCTCAGAGACCACAGATCATATCATACTTAAAGAAAAGTCTGTTGACAAAATGAAAGAAACAATTCTACCAAGTCTATTAACTATAGTTAATTGTATTACAGGTTTACAGAATTCACAGAAAGGAGACACATAATTTAATTGGTTGAAATAGTTATTAACGCATGAGCTGGGTGTGGTGGCCCATGCTTTCAATTCTAGCACTCAGGAGGCAGAGGTAGGCGGACCTCTGTAAGTTCATGGCCAGCCTGGTCTACATACAGAGCTCCAGGCTAGACAGGGCTACATAGTGAGACCCTGTAAAAAAAGGAGTACCAATTTCATTGACTGTATGATTTTTATTATTTAGTCATCTGGAGCTCATTTCCAATCTTATGAAAATATGAATTTTGACTGATGTCATTAAAAATGCAGCTTGATTAAAAAATGTATCTTGATATCAAGATAAGGTGCCCTTTTATTTTTTCCATTTCCCTAAAGTGGGTATTAGAATTTTATTTCAAAATCATGAGGGAAAAGACTATTTTTTTATCTCTTTCACTGACTGATACATTCAGCTCATTTCAGATGACATTTCATCAAATATCTGTAAATATTTTATTTCTTATTTTTGTTTATGTGTATGAGTATATTGCCTGCATGTATGTAAGTTCACCCGTGTCATGCAATGCCCGTGGAGGTCAGAAGAGGGTGTCAGATCCCCTAGAACTGGAGTTACAGATGGTTGTTAGCCACCATGTGGGTGCTGGGAATAGAATCCAGGTCTTCTGCAAGGGCAGCCAGTGCTCTTAACCACTGAGCCATCTCTTCAGCCCCATCTTTTAAAAAATATTATTTTGTGTATGTATGATGTGTGCGTATGTTAATGTGGGCACACATGTTCCATAGCAAACGTGTGGAAGTTAGGAGACAACTTTTGGGGGTTGGTTCTTGCTTCTTCTTTCCACTGCTGGATCTAGGGACTGAACTCAGGTTATCAGGTTTAGGTGGCAAGCACTTTTACCTGCTGAACTATCTCACTGGCCCTTGATTTTTAAAATTTATTTTAAAAACAGAATCTTGCTATGCAGCCTAGGCTGACCTTGAACTCAAGATTGTCTTCACCTTGGTGTGCCAAGTGCTGGATTATGGGCATGTGACAATATACCTGGCTGGTGCTAATATTTCTTGATGCATATTTTGTGTCAAGCACAGAGTTAAGTCATAAATAGATTTTCTGACATCTTAACATCAGTCCTATGAGGTAGGGACTATTATTTCCTCCTATTTTTTAGGTGAATAAACTAAGAGATTAAATAACTTGGTTAGTAATATGGCAAATTATTTATTATTCTCTCTGAACCTAACTAACATGATAGTGAAGGAATAAAACATATACAGTCATAAAGGCAAGGAGAGCAGAGGACAGACAGTAACAGTTAACACAATTTTAGAAGTACGACAACACATGGACAGTTACTGAGGAACTTAGCAGAATGAATGGTTCTAAGTAAGTAAGGTAAGTCAGCATATGAAACCCTGCAAGTTCCTAGATCCCTGGTGTGCAGGTTTATACTGTCCCCAGAGCCAGAGACTGGTTGACACGCCAGGAAAACTGAGAACTTCAAGAAAAAAGAGTTAGAGATATGACATTTGAGGATAAGGGGTCTGCCAGTGAAACTGCAGGGCTTGCCTCTTCATAGGGAAGCCCATGTTCTGAACTTTCTCCTTTCAACTACCAGCTTTTTCAATATGCTGAGCAGATTTTAAGTGCTTCAGTCTTAAATATACACAAACAGCCAAGGGTAGCCTTGAGAAAGCTTCTAACATGAAAGAGACCAAAACAAAAATAAAAATGAAATTCAGAAGAAACAGAAACAGTAGGAATCAGAAGAGGATTTCTAAAGCTGTCTATAATTAATGTCCACAGAATTTTAAAAAATATGTATTTTACTTCATAGGGAGTAAGATAGGGAGTAAGTAACTCTCAGAAATGGAAACTATGACAATTGTAGATTCAGGTTAAATCAACTTGGAGGGTTATAACACTAGACTATTTTTCAAGTAAGCAGAAGGTAGCACTCTCCCCTGCTATGATTAAAGGACTGAAAAACTCAGGAGTGCTGAACCTGTTGGTTCCACCAAACTAAAAGAATAAGGAATGTCTATTTTAGCTAGTTGTAAGACACACTTAATATTCCTAACAGAGATGGTTCCTGGATTACTTGGAGTTGAGTGTGCAAATACAAAAAAGGGTCTTTAATTACCTTTGAAAATACATAGGAAATCTATAGATTTTAAGCTCACATTAGAGGAGCACTGGGAGGCTGGTCTGGACTTTTGACACTCAGACAAAAGGTGAGCAAATATACTTGCCCCTGGATTGAGCTGTAATTCTCTTCTTTGATTTATAGTGGCCTTTTCTGAACTCCCCATATGGAACTAAGCAAACAAATGAAAGCTAAAAGGACTAGTGAGAGGAAGGGAAGAGCCTGTTTTAAATGTAGAAGGTTCTCTGTTGACAACCTTTCAATATGGCACAATTTTGTGTCACCATAGCTGGTGCTAGTAGTCACTTGCAGTGTCAGTTTGGATGTAAGAATAAAGAGATGAAGGATGGCTAATACCAATCTTAACTAAATTGTTTTAGAAAACAGAAGAGGTAACAATATCCAAGTAGATAGGAGACTGCTGCAAGTGTGTACTCGAATCAGATAAGGATTCCATAAGGAAGGGAACTCACATGTCATTTCTTACCAACGAACACAGAAGCAAAAACACTAATCACAATAATTGCAAACTGAGCTCAAAGAGCATGCCACCAGGGCTGGAGAGATGGCTCAGTGGTTAAGAGCTCTGGCTGTGTTTGCAGAGGACCTGAGTTCAGTTCCCAGCACCCACATGGTGGCTAACAACTGTTGGTAACTCCAATTCCAGGGGATCTGATGCCCTCTTCTGGCCTCCACAGGCATTACATTCACAGGTGCACTCACATTTAAGCAAGACACTCATACACAGTTAAAAAAAAAAAAAAAGAGAGAAGCATGCCATCATATCAAGTACAACATGATCAAATAAAAGTTAATCTCATGGGGCTAGAGGGATGGCTCAGCAGTTCAGAACACTGGTTGTTCTTGCAGAAGACCTGGGCTTGAATCCCAGCACCCACATGGCAGCTAACAACTGTCCGTAAGTCCAGTTCCAAGGGATCCAACAGCTTCTTCTGACATCTGTGGGCATTGCACGACACAGGTGTACTTACCTACATGCAGGCGATACACTCATACACATAAAAAAGTTAATCTCATAAATACAGGGCTATTTTTAAAATTTTTTATTTATTTTTTTATTTTATATGTATGAGTTGTATTGCTTACATGTACCTAAGTGCCACCCGTGTTGTGCAATGCTTGTGAAAGTCAGAAGAAGGTGTTGGATCCCCTGGAACTGAAGTTAGTATGGTTGTTAGCTGCCATGTAAGTGCTGGGAATCGAACCCAGGTCCTCTGCAAGAGCAGTCAGTGCTCTTAATCACTGAGCCTTACAAACTCTATTAACATAATTGCATATAGGTCAGAGAACAAAAGCCACATGGTTATTCAAATAGATGAGAAAATATATTTATTTAAAAATTAAAACATGATGAAGTGTTTCTATCAAATATTTATAGCAAATAAAATATCTCCCAAGGGAAACAGCTAGAATTTCCTTTAAGAAAAAAAGTTAGGTAGAAGTAAAGGATGCCCAATATCACCAGTTATTAAACATCATTTTAGACTGTCCTACTCAGCATATAAGAACAATTAATGAAAAGTGTAAGAATCAGAGAGTTAAGAAACAAAACTCTATCATCTGCAACTATAAATTCAAGAGAATTCATAAAAACAGGATTGTGAGATAACAATCCCAATAAACAAAAATCAGCGATATTCCTATGAACCAAGGGCAAAAATTACAAAGTATAATTAATAAAATTGCTATCAACACAAATTGTAAAATAAGAATTACTCCAAGGGAAAACTTGGGAAAAGTAAAAAAAATTATAACTCTTTATATCATGTTCATAGATAAAATGACATAATATTATAAAAATGTCAATTATGGAGCTGGAGAGATGGCTTAGTGGATAAGAGTACTGACTGCTCTTGCAGAGGACCCGGGTTCAATTCCCAGCACCCACATGGCGGCTATGAACCGTCCTCGTCCTGAACTCCAGTTCCAGGGGAATCCGAAGTCCTCTTCTGACCTCTGCAGCATTGCACGACACAGGTGCACTCACATACATGCAGGCAATATACTCATAAAATAAAAATAAATAAAATATTTTTTAAAATGTCAATTATTTCTATGGGGCTGGAGAGATGGCTGAGCGGTTAAGAACACTGGTTGTTCTTGCAGAAGGCCCAGGTTCAAATCCCAGCACCCACATGGCAGCTAACAACTGTCCATAACTCCAGTCCCAGGGAATCCGACAGCCTCTTCTGACCTCTGCAGGCATTGCACGACATGGGTGCACTTACCTACATGCAGGCAATACACACATACACATAAAATAAAAAATTTAAAAATTGTCAATTATTTCTAGAGATAAATTCAATGAAAGTCTAATAAGTAAAAGTCAGGTCTTTTGTTTTTTGAAACCAACATTTTTATGGAGAAATGATGATAAAATGCACATAGCAAAGAAGAGACCAGAATATACAAGGAAAAATTGGAGAACTATTTAGGAACAGGGTATGACCTACAAGATACCAAAACATACAGTTGTGAGGGTTAGCAGCAGCATGTTAGAGAAGCCAGCAGATTACGGGAGCCCAGAACAGACCTATGCAATTTGACTACACATAAGTTAAAAAAAAGGAAAACAACTTCTATTTAATAGTCAGTATAAATAATCTTGGAGAACACTTTGGGAAAAGCCATTGGGAACCTACCTTATAAATAAAGGTGACATTAAACCAACAGGTCAAGCCACTATACAGAAGTAGTCAAGTAGTCTAGCATGGTGGTGAAAATATGGATGATGGCCAGGCGTGGTGGCACATACCTTTAATCCCAGCACTTGGGGAGACAGAGGCAGGCAGATCTCTGTGAGTTCAGGGTCAGCCTGGTCTACATAGTGAGTTCCAGGCCAGCTGGGGCTACAAGGAGACACTGTCTCAAAAACACCAAAAAAAAAAAAAAAAAAAAAGGATGATGGTATTAGCTATCTAGGGTTTATGTCCTCATTCTGATGTTCCTACATCTAGGCTGCTGTATAACTGTTTTATTTGGGGACAGGGTTTTGCTAGGCAATCCAGAGTGGCCTAGAACTTACTATGTATCCCAGCCTGGCTTTCAACTCAAGGAATTCTCCTGCTTCAGCTTTCTGAGTATTGGAATTATAGGTGTATGCCACCAGACTTGGTTGCTGTGTGACTTTGAACAAGTTCCTGTGTTTCAGTTTTCCTACTTGTCAAATAGTGTTGTAGGGATTAAATAAATTAACAGCTGCAACCAGGCATAGTGGTGCATGCCTTTAATTCTAGCACTTCAGCAGAGGTAGGCAGATCTCCTGTGTGTTCAAGGTCTACATAACACGTTCCAGGCCAGCTAGGACTATGCATTGAGATCCTGTCTCAAACAAAACAAAAGAGGACAGGACAGGATAGGACAAAACACAATACTGTAAAGTGCCTAGCATAAGGAAAATATATTTGTTTAGGGTTAAAGTGTCTTTAAGGATCAACTGATGGTATTGGACCAGTGCAATTACCTTAAATTCATGTAACATTTATTTTCAATCATTTTTTATCTCTGTGATCTCATGTGGATAGATAAGTAAGGTTCCAGCCCGTAGCTCCTGAGAGTGTTTTTTTTCCAACTATTAAAACAAGAGGATAATCTCCAGGGTTCCTTTTGGTTCTAAAAAACTGTCTATTTTAGCCGGGTGTCGTGGCGCACGCCTGTAGTCCCAGCACTTGGGAGGCAGAGGCAGGCAGATCTCTGTGAGTTCAAGGCCAGCCTGGTCTACATAGTGAGTTCCAGGACAGCTGGGGCTAAAGGGAGACCCTGCTTCAAAATAAAACAAACAAACAAACAAACAAAAAAACCACCTGTCTATTTTACAAGAAAGACATTTGAGGCAAAGAGATGTTAACTGACTCGCCTTAGGTCATCGAGAATTACTAGCAGATTTAGGATTAAAACCTAGGTTTCCAAGATGGATTTGCATCACAAAGGTACAATAATAATTTCCCCAGAGACTCTGTATCTAAATTTCTTCTTGGAATTGTCAGTAGATACTTGGGGAGGTAATTCACTAGGGGATCATTTAGAATATTACTGACATATTCCACCAACTAGAAGCTCCAAACTCATTACCAGAGAGGGAGTTAGTAGAGATACAGATCTTTCAGAAACATTTTTACACGGACAATAACACAGAAGAGAGAATTACCTGGGCAAGCAGACCTGGCTGTATCTGAAGAGGCTGAGCTCCGGGCGCTTGAGTGACAATGGGAACAGCATTTTCCATTCGTACTGAGTAGCCAGCATGCTTGGAGGGAGAGGCCTGCAGGCCTGTTTAGGACATGGATGAGGGATAAGAGGAAGGGGAGTGACTGAAAGATAAAAAGATCCTTCCTAGCAGCTGAGTCAGCTTTACTGCTCAGCTTTGGGCTGTTTTCCCCTTTCCCCTTTAGTTTCTGAGGTTAAAAGCATCCCCCGCCAAAATAAATAAATAAATAGTGTGTATGGTCAAAAATGGGGCACTCAGGCTGACAAGTTACAACTGGAAAACAAGGGCCTCTGCCAGTGGAGATATATCCAAGCGTCAGAGCAAAGGATGCTGGAAGCAGAGTAGATGGCTCTCTTTGGATTATACAGACTGAACGTGAGCACCCATGTACATGCTGCTCACAGGGGTGGTTTGCAACATCCATTCTTGAGCTTTCTGTATAATTGTGACAAGGTACACAGTCATCTCTAGCTGCCTAGAGTCTGCAGGAGAAGCACGCTGGGATCATGGCCAAGGATAGTATTTTTGGGAGGAGGCCCTGGCAGGCACTTTTCAGACAAATTTATATTCTCCATGTGAAGTAGGCTTAGCTGGCTGTCGGAGACTGGCAATTTTGTATAGACAATGCGCAGAGGACATTTCATGTGAGGAAAGCTGGAGCTGACATCAGCATAACAATGGGACCAGACAATGCCCTTCTTCATAGGCAGCTGGCCAGGGCCGCAGTCTCTGGCAGGTGGCGAGAACAACAACAAATGGACTTGGTGCTAGAGTACAAGTCTCATTGTCCCCAGGCTGGTGGCAGTAGGAGAAGAGCCTGGACACCAGCATTCTCATGAAGGAAAGGGAAGAGGGCTTTCTTGCCAGCAAATGGCAGGTGTCAGAACCGTAGAGGTGGTCCTGCAAGAAGCAGGTGAGGAGCCAGCTCAGCCTTACCTTGGAAGCCGGGGGGACACACGATGAGAGCTTGCTGGAAGGGGTCAGGCCGGGCACAAATCTGGGCTGTTCCCGTCTGTAGGGGCATGCTCCGCTGGGCCACCGCGGCCATGGATGCCGCTGAGGGCTGGTAGAGTGTAGATTGGTAGTTTAGTATGGAGACTTCGGGATTGGCTAAGGAAAGAGTGGCACTGGTGGAGGTGGGAGCCTAAAGGAATGGTGGGGATTAAACAAAAATAAACAAAAATAAAAAATGAGGGAGGTGGAATGTTGGGAGATATGAATACTAAATCATAAATGAATTCAAAGGAGAGAAAACAAAAACCAAGAGCAGAAAAGCTAAGAGAGAAGTAGAAATCCAGATGAAAGTCTCCAACAAAGGGAGGTACCTGGATCCTCACAGTTGTGGGACTCAGACAAGGGTAACAAAGGATGTCTGCTCACCATACACTTCACTATTGAAAAGTTGACTTAGTCTAGAGAGCTGTTTAATGAGGGGCTACAGATGAGACACAGCAGAGAGCTTGCCTAGCATGCATGAAGCCCTGGGTTCAATCCCCAGCACTGCATAAAACCAGATATGGCAGTACATTCGTACAATCTCAGCATTTAGGAGGCTGAGGCTGGAGGATTAGAAGTTCAAGGCATCTTTGGCTACATACTGAGTTTGAGGCCCGCTTGGGCTACATGAGCCTCTGATTCAAAACAAAACAAAACAAAACAAAAAACCCCAATGACAACAAAAGAAAGAAAACTGTCTAATGAATGTCGGCCTTCCACTTTATCTGCCTAACATCCCAGAAGGCTAGGTTTCGGTTGAGAGCTTTTGGATTCCTTGGGTCCTACACTGGAACATGGAGATGGGGTGGATGGGAGGAGCTGGGTCTTGCCTTCCTTCTCCTTGTCCTAGGATGGCTCTACCAACTTGAGGGGCTCCAAGTGCACATGTATTGCTCTACTAGCCTACACACCTCAGTTCTGTTCATACTCCCCTCCCCTTGAGGCTGGTGGTGCAATCTATACCTGAGGGGATGAATCCAGGAAGGGGCTCCTGTAGGCCTGGGCCCTGGACACTTAGGTCTTAGAAGCATAGAAGCACATGTACCAGGAAGAAAGCCCAGGAAGAGGTCTGCAAGGAGCCTCTTGCTCAGATCTAGAGATAGTACTGCAGGGCACTGCTACTGCAAAGAGCAGTGTACTACAAACATCTGGAGGGGAGAAGGACCAGTAGAGGCTGGCCTTTCTTGTCTAAGAGGCTGATGAATTGAGAGAATTTAAGTGGCAGTACATTTGACAAGTACAGGTCTTGAAATGATGTTGCTTTCAGAAAGAAAACTGTTATTTGAAATGAACTTCTATGGAAGCAAAGCTATAAGAGGAAAGCAAATCTATGTTGGGAATTCTATGGTTTCTCGCCTCTTAAAAAGCCCTTTTCACACTGATCCTTAAGGAAGGGAGGCAGAGGTTAGCAGGAGCTTCAGATTCAACACTGCCTACAAGAAGCTGTGCCTCTAGAGGACACAAGGACTGAGGAATAAAGGAGGAGTGAGCTATAAGCATAGCTTGGCCATAAAACACAAAGAGAATTTCAAGTGGAGTTATGTGTCAGATTTAATGGATAAAGTCTTGTTTTACCCTTACTTTTTGTGATGCTAGGGGCCTTGCATATACTAGGCAAGCTGTCTACTACTGAGCTATATCTGTAAGCCCAACATGTTTTTTATACTTAGATTTTGTGCTGAATTTCAGTACAAAGCAATTAATTTGTCTGAAAATGATCACAAAATTCTGTGATATGCATATTTGGATTTTCTTTTCTGTCCATCTGTTTGCCTGTCCATCCATCCATCATCTCTCTATCTTAGGGTTTCATTATGTAGCCCTGGCTGGCCTGGAACTTGGTATGTAGACCAGGGTGACCTTGAACTCGCAGAGGTCTGCCTGCCTCTGCTTCCTGAGTGAGATTAAAGATGTGCACCACCATGCCTAGCCTACATATTTGGATCTTGAGCTGTGTATTTGAACTGTGTATGTTTGCAGAATCCTAGAGAGTACCTCCAGGTAGTATGGTTGGAACATGTGCATGTAGAAGTCAGCGTCTGTGTACTGTTACTGTGACACAGCCCACATCTCCTGTGCACTGTTACTGTGACATAACCTGCACCTCCTGTGTTTCCCATACCATCATCTTTCTTGGTAGCACCCCTACCATGTTTCCCCATCACCTTAGACACTTCATGAGAGTCCCCTGCTTGGGGCCCTGGCACCAATGTCCTTCCACTTCCCACTTGACTGAGCTATGTCATTTCTCTGGTTGGTGACTGCTCCTGCTGCATCTACCTTTCACATGTTCATAGACTCCAGGGACTCTTCAGTTGTTGCACCCTGGTGCCCAGGACCTATAAGAGGCTCTGACCAGTGATGTCCTGCCCTCTACTTCTCTTCAATTCTTGGGCACATTACTCTCCTAAAGACTACTCTGCACACCAGCACCTTGCTCTACATGTCAGCAGCCTGCTCACAAACTCCAGTAACAGCCTCATGGATGTTGCATATGCATCCTGGCCCAGTACTTCTTGCTTTCCACCCTCAGGCATCTTCCTTGCTAACTGTATCTTTCTTTGCTCTCTGCCCTTGGCATGGGGCAGCTTAGTCTACTTGTGTTCCTAGCTTACTGTAAGCACAGGCTATTCATCTCACAAGAATCCTTTGACTCAGAGTTTGCTCCAAGTCTCTGTGCTTTGAGATCAGCCTGACTGCAGATATGAGCTACTTCTGTCTCTGTTCTTGCACAGTAACCTGTGGTAGTATGGCCCAACTCCTGTCACAGAGTGCTAGGTAGCACAGTCTGCCTTCAGACTGGTGCCTGCTTGTGAGAAGGGGCTGGGTGATACTTATGACCCTCTGCCCCCACAGCCTTTCAGTATGTCCTGCTATTAGCTCCAGTCCCCACTAGGCACGCAGTTTCCAGTTTTAATCCTGCTTAGGGATCAGCTGAGAGGCATGTGTGAGGGTGAGGGTGTTTTCTACTTCTGTGTCCTCTGTGGTTCTGACAAAGACACCTAAAACAAGCACTACCTGTTTTCTTTTTTTTTTGTGCTTTTCTTTTTAATATTTTATTATTTATATATATTTAAATATTTTCTTTATTATTTTTATTTTATGTGTATGAGTGTATTGCCTGCATATATGTGAGTGCACCTGTGTTGTGCAAGGCCTGCGTAGGACAGAAGAGGCTGTTGGATTCCCTGGAACTGGAGTTATGGACAGTTGTTAGCTGCCATGTGGGTGCTGGGATTTGAACCTGGGTCTTCTGCAAGAACAACCAGTGTTCTTAACCGCTGAGCCATCTTTCCAGCTCCCTATTTTTATATTTTTGTGTGTATGCGTATATTGCCGGCATGTAGGTTAAGTGCACCTGTGTCATGCAATGCCCTTGGAGGACAGAAGAGGCTGTCAGATCCCTTGGAACTGGAGTTACGGACAATTGTTAGCTGCCATGTGGGTGTTGGGATTTGAACCTGGGTCTTCTGTAAGAACATTCAGTGTTCTTAACTGCTAAGCCACCCCTCCAGCCCCTTTTTTGGTGTTTTTGAGACAGGGTCTCCCAGTAGCCCCAGCTGGCCTGGAACTCACTATGTAGACCAGGCTGGCCTCAAACTTACAGGGATCTGTCTGCTTCTGCCTCCTAAGCACTGGGATTAAAGGTGTGTGCCACCATGCCCGGCTGCACTACCTGTCTGTAAGGACAGGGAGGACTACTGAGAACTGTCTTGGTTAACCAACAGAAAAAGAAGCAAAAGCAAGTTCACTGGCAATGCAGGCTTTGCAAGGATGGGTGAAGTGATTCTTGGAAGCAGCAGGAACAGATGTTTAAATGGTTTGACATCCACAAGAACAGGGTGTGAGCTTGGCCTACAAACCCAATTAAAATTCTTGGTAGAAGGATATGTCCAAAAAACAGAAACCCATGGAAATGTAAGTCATGTGGCTGACTCTTAGGATTAAGCCAAGAATACCCAAGGGAGAGTCCTTATTCAGTCTGTTACTAACTGGGATACTTAACAGGTTTTGAAAGCAGAGAAATAAAAAGTTATGGAGTATTGACCCAGCTGCCTTGAGACATAAATGATTATAGATTAGTGACCATTTGGGAAAGGTCCTGTGGTGAGTCTACTGGATATATGCTAAGAGTAATAAAGAACTAGTGTATTATCCTTCTACCAACATAAACTACAGGCATATTTCATTGCTTCTAAAAATCCAAACAAGCAAAAAAACTCCAAGGAGCTCACAAAGGAAGCATGGCACTGGGTCACTAATGGACAAAAGAAGTCCGACTGCATTTAGATGGCAGATGGATTTAGGAAAGCAATCTAGGACCTCCACAGGATTCATCTGTGTGTACATTTTAAAAGTACAGACTCTGAGGCCAGACTGCTGGGATCAAAGCCTAAACTCGTCTCATATGAGACTTGGGTAAGAGGATTGATTGCTTTGTGCCTCAGTTTCCTTCTAAAATGGCAGTGATAATTCCTATTCTACCCCAGTGCTAGAGGACTGAATGATGTCATGCTGAGAAGAGTCTGACACATGAATGCTATCAGTAATGCTGTCATCTCATAACATATCAGAGGCAGGAAAGCATGCTTAGTACTTAGGTCTAAGTCATAACTCTAGTAACATTTAGGGCCCAGTAGTTCCAAGGCCAGAAGACGGAGGTTTGTCCTCAAGATCTTACTTTTGTGGGATGGCATTTCCCTTTCCTTGATGCTCTGAACTACTGTTATACTATACTGCTAACCTTTTCTACTCTAGCCCAGCCTGGCTAGCTTTGGATGGTGTCAGTGCCATGAAGAAGAGGGGTGTTCCTATTTGAGAACTGCCTTTGTAATGAGAAACCCTTTGGGTTTTGCAGTCTTGGTGACACTTTGCAACTGATGTGCTGGCTGCCATATCACAGGTAACATGGAAGCAGATTCTTCTGGTAGAGTCATGGCACCCCCACCCCCTAGGCCCTCAAGTCTGAAGCCTAAGAAGACACCCATGGAAAGGCCGAGGCCTGGGTGAAGGGCCACGTAAGAATGATTTTTTTGACTCCAAGCACTGGCTCTCCACACTATGGAGAGCTGGAGAGCTTCAGAAACACTGATGGCCTCCAGAGGGCAGTCCAGAGTCTGAAGAGAGGGAGAACTGGCAGGTTGGAAACCAAACTAGGAGGGAACAACATGAGTGGCCCAGGAAAGCAGTGTGCAGGAGTAGTAGCTGAAAAGCAGGGCCAGTGGCTCCTCAATGACAGGAGATGTGTCAACAAAGTGGAGAGCCAGGTGACTATAATCATACGTTAAGTTTAGTACATACATATTCCTCTGCTCTGAAGATAGGTGTGTGTGCATGTGTGCGTATGTGTATGCATGTGTGAACAATACACAGGAGCATTGTTGTCATTATAGATTGATATTAAGATGGAAAGATCTAGAAATATTTCTTTGGGGGAACTCACAAGATTGGAAGATGGGAGTAACAGTACAAGTGTCTCAGAATTCTAAAAGCAGTAGTACTCAGGTGTGGAGATTATCCCCTTAGAAACTACTTCCCGAGTGTCATCTGTGTTTCAAGCATTTACTACACTGCTGGACCCTGTCAATCCATCAAAGGCTGGAAATCTGTGGGAAGGAAACCTTAGCTTAGCTTCCTGTTTAAGTGGAGCTACCAGAATTCTGGTGGCAGACCCATGAGCTGGCTTTCCTATGCCTTGAAGAAATGACAGTATTTTTTTTAATCTTTCCTGAATAGAGAACATGTGGATACATGTGTGAGGGAGGGACCCCAGCTCCTTCTGGGGCAGATATTAAACATAAAAGGATCATAGCATCTCCTTTCCCCAGTCTCACATCCACTCTGAGGAAAGTAGGAAAAGGTACCATCTCAAGAAACAGTTACTTCTTGTCTCCTTCCTAGGACCTTAAAGCCAGGTCAGAAGTCAGAACTGAGAGCTCCTGGGCCTCTGAAAGGAAATAACTAAGGACCAAACGCTTCAGCTTACAGACCTGAAAGTGACAACCAAGGAATGGTGTGCCCTGCCTAGGTTTGGAGGGGAAACTGGAGTCTTGTGGCTCAATTTGAAGTCAGCCCTGCCTGCCTTCCCCAGTGCTTGCCACTCACCTGGTTGTGGACAGTGGTCAGCTGGTTGTTAAAGGTCATGGTCAGGTTGGTAGACGTGCTGGGAGCTACATGTGTGATGAAAGGTGTTTTGCTCTGGTTCACTGTGTCATACATGTTTACCCGGCGCTTGCAAATCTCCATGTTTTGGAAACAGGATTTGACACTGTTCATAAAAAAGGTAGAGAGGCAGAGACAAGGGATAGGAGAGAGGGTATGGGGTGGGTAAGGTGAGGGAAAGGGGAACAAACAGTGAGAAAGGGGGAGAATAGTTAATCTAGTAAATAAGATAGTCAGTGAAACTCAACTTTAGCTTCAAAAATCCTGGATTTCTTGGGGCTGGAGAGATGGCTCAACAGTTAAAAGCACTGGCTGCTGTGGTAGAGGACCTAGGTTTGATACCCAGCACCCACATGGTGGCTAGCAACCGTCTGTAACTCTAGTTCCAGGGAATCCAACACCCTCTTTTGACCTCTGTGGGCATTGCATGACACATGTACACTTACATATATGCAGGCAAAACAGAAATCCACATAAAATAAAGGTTTTTTTTTTTTTTTTTTTTTTTTTTTTTTTTGTTTTTTAAAAAAAATCCTTTTTGATCATGTTTAGACCCCTTACCCTATCTGTGCCACCATATAGTGCCCTCACTGGATTTCATGCATTCTGTCTAATATGTTAAGGTCTATTTATTTAAGATTGTGTCCCCAAATATCCCTCAGTGTGAATTCATCCATTGGGTCCTGGTCAACCTATCTAGCATCATTTCCTTACAAGCAAATCTCCCTCACCAGCAGTGATCAGATGCCAATAGTTCCTCAGGGAAGGTAGCTGACCTGGAACTTACTATGTAGACCAGGTTGGCCTTGAACTCAGAGATCCGCCTGCCTCTGCCTCCCAAGTGCTGGGACTAAAGGCTACCACGCCTGGCCATAAAATAAAATTTTAAAAATTAAAAAAATATTTAAAAAAAACCTGGATTTCTCAAAGTCTGCACTTGGAACCGTCAGTGCTATAATTAGATTTCCTGCTGTCTTGGTGTCTTGTTGCTCTTACTCCCCCTCCTGGTGAGCAGTTTCCTTTTAGTTCTGGCCCATAAACAGATAACTCTCCAACTAAGAACATTAAGAAGTAGCTACAACCTGCCTCCCCCTTTCTCAGAGCCAACTTGTACATACTGCTCCCCTATCCAACCACCCTGAGTCATCAGCACCATCTAGAGGTCAGCCAAGGAATTCTCTCACCCTGAGCCATGTACTTATGGCCTGCTTTCCCCTCACTGGAATAGGGCATGCAATGAAAACAATGACAATTATTACTAATTTTCTGAGAGCAGTGATATGCATTTGCATTCTCTCATTTAGTACTACATCATCTACAAGAAAGAGGTGAGATTACTGTCCTATTTTTATGAGGAGGGCAGATTTGGGAGGACAGGTAATTTGCCAGACAGGTAGTTGCTAACTGGCAATCTTCGCCCCTCCCCCCAACTTTTTCTATTCCTTGTTTTCTTTTCTAATTTTTGCCCAGATACAGGAAGTAAAATTCTCTCCTTTTTCTTCCTCCATTGTCTTGCTGAATCAAAATCAAAATTAAAGGAGTACAGATACCAGTTTGAGGAAGACCTTGAGTAGCCTCAGCCATTCTAGCTCCTGACAGTCCACTGTGTCCTACTGAATTCACACTGCTCTACACTGACTTCTGCTGCTTCTTCAGTGTAAAAAGTCTGTTCTAAGAACTGAGTATAAACAAAGCAACGGCATTCTATTATACTAAAGGTAGAAATTCTACCATGTCTGTATAGTATAGGTATGTTATATTCTGGGCTAAGTGGATATTTATGGGCTAGTCCAGAATATTCTTTCCATGAAAGATAGATTCCAAATTTCAAACACTGAACTTAGACATGACCTAGAGAATCCTACTTCTAAGTTAATACTAACCGCATTGGTCACATGATGTACAGTGCATAGGAAATAAAATGATGGTCCTGGAGAGAAAAGAAAACATATTCTATGATACCCAACACCTCACCTGCAGCTTCTGTGAATACCAAGTACACCTCTGAGTGCGTCCATGTGGAACTAAAGGCAATAAAATGGCATGCACACATTCTTTTTGGAATGTATTTCAGGCATTCAATGATTCTGTGACAAATCAATGCATAGTCTTTAGACTCCAGCATTTTCTCACTGCAGTGGCTGAGTTTTGATTATCAGGATGATACAAGTACTTCTACTTTGGGGTTAGTTTATAAGAATGCTGGTTTTGGTGCTGGAGAGATGGCTCAGCGGTTAAGAGCACTGACTGCTCTTGCAGAGGACCCGGGTTCGATTCCCAGCACCCACATGGTGGCTACGAACCATCTTTAACTCCAGTTCCAGGGGAATCTGAAGCTCTCTTCTGACCTCTGCGGCATGCACTGCAGGGCATGGGTCCACTCACATACATGCAGACAATACACTCGTACACATAAAATAAAAATAATAAAATATTTTAAGAAAAAAGAATGCTGGCTTTAAATATTTTGTGCGCTAGAATCTTGGTGTAGAGAAATGAGTGGTTTCTTTTTCATCTGGTAAACCACACGTCAGAGCGGCTGGGGCCCAGCCCCAAGGGTGGGATCCACAGCAAATTGGACCTGGTAGGCCTCTCACTCCAGAGTTCTCCATGGTCCTCTCAGTAAGCCTAAGAACCCTCAAGGATTCCATCTACTCTTGGGTAAGCCTGGGGTAGTCAAGAGAACTGCCTTTCTTCTTAGGCTGATCTGAGTTCTAAATTGTCACTCTTCTTCATTGGAGCACAGAGGGCAGGGCTCCATTCATCCAAGCCCCCAGTTTTGGGAATGACTTTCACTGACTTTGTGCAGATGGCCAATAGGAGCTCACTAAAGAGCCCCTGCTTCCTGATCTCCTGGCCCCTCATTCCTCTTTATTCCTGGGTGTAGTAAGCCTGGCTTCGTGGGAATTTGCCTTTCTTCTTGTAGGTTCAGACTGACACCTCCTTGACTGACCTCCTGCAATACTCAGAAATAGTACAGATCCAATAGCTTGCGTTTGGAAGGGATGGGTACAGATTCCTTCTTTGTACTGGAGCTTAGCTGTTTCAAACAAGGCTCCAAACTGAAGAGGCATCATCTGTTTCTTATAGTGCAATCTGACTTGCTTCACTGATTGCTAAGGAAAAGAAATGACATAATACCACTCTTCATGGTGGCTGTAGCCCACCTGTTAGGCTGGGAAAGGTTAGGTTCAGCCTGGAGACTCAATGCAATCTGATTTGGGCCATGGCAGAGTTAACCATGGTCTGCAAACCTCTTGTATCTCCAGGCTCTTCATATAGCAGTCCCTTTAAGCCAGGACCTAAGAAAACCCGCTGCTCTCCTGAGCACACTACTTCCCTGAAGACATGTGGGATGTGAGTCTTTACTCTTTCATGTCCCAGCTACCTCAAAGTCAGGTGGAAATGACATAACACATTTTCCATCTACAAAAGACCGCCTTTGTCTTCCTCTCATCCATTAGACCTTTGCCACTGGTTTGGTCTTCCTCTCCAAGTGATTCTCTGATCACACAGGAACACTTCAGAGACAGCATTGATAATCTGTTGAATACCGGGCTTCCCATCTCAGGACCTTGTCCTCAACCACACCACTCATTCCGCATGATGTCAGACCTGGAACTATTTCCCAGCTCAAGCATTCAGGTCCTCATGCAACATTCTTGACCCTATTACTATTATCTATTACTATCATAACTATTCTTAGAGTTGACCAGAGGGCACAGTTCGTGGGGAGCCAATGAAGGCCCTTTCCCTTAGGTAAGCAACTAACAGCTGCTATTTGGGATTACAATCACTATATTACCAGCATCATCAACTTCTCATCCTTTTGATTTTTCTCCTAACAGCCTGGCTACTGTTCAACCTGGACAAATACAACTGTTTTCTCTATGCCTTCACTTGGGAAGGTTATTTACACCACCACTTTATGTCAGACTCAATTTCAATGCTCTTTCCACCTCCCTCCTTCTCACTCAGCCTCTCAAGTGCTGGGATTACAGCTGTATACCACTACACTGTCTTCTTATATTTTTCTGGTCAGTATGCTCTACTACCTGCTCCAGCTTCCTGGACTTTCTTTCTCTTTGTTTCTTTCACTCTCTCTTTCTTAACAGCTTTAACATTTTTTTGCATATGTATGTGTGTGTTTGCATGTGTGTAGATGCATGTGTGTGTATATAGAGGCCAGGACTGACAATGGGTATCTTTTATCTTTTCTTTTTTAATTAAAAATAGATTTAGTTATTTTATTTATGTATATGTATATGTATATTTGCCTACATTAGTTTGTATGTACCAGAAAGTGTTAGATCCCCTAGAATTGTAGTTATAGTTGATTGTGAAACACCATGTGGGTGCTGGGAACCAAATTTGGGTTGCTCTTAACTGCTGAGCCATTTCTCCAGCCCCTGGGTTTGCCCTCCAAGTAGCCTAGGTAGCCAGTTTGTCCCTGGGAATCTCTGTCACCTCCTAAGCTCTGGGATTACAGGTAGGCCACCACCACACCCACCTGGCATTTATGTGGGTGCCAGGGTGCCAAACTTTAGTCCTCAAGTTTGTGTGGCAAGTGCTTCCTCCACTGAACCATCACTCCAGCCCTAGCTACACTGACTTTCTATAATTCTTAATTGACCATTCATTTTGTTTTTAATAGATAACTTCATGTATTTCTGAGAGACAAGTTGTCTGAAAAGAACTCCCTTAATTTTCCTCTGTGTACCTGCTGACGCCCATGCCTCTTCTCCTGTCATTCTTTAGTAACACAGCCCATCTCTCCATCAAGTTCTAACCCAGCTTGATATACCATCTCAGGAAACTGGTTCCAAGCCTCCTTTCCCTCCAGTCTCTCACTTGCTACCAGACTCCTCACATAAGTATTTAAAATTGCTTAAACCTCCTTACTCTTCAAAAGAATTTCCTCTAGTCCCTCTAGACACCCCTTTTCACAGCCTCACTTCTTGAAAGGTTGCCGTCTATGTCTATTTCTCTACCTCTCACTTTATCTTTCAACCTGTTGAACAGGATTCTGTTTCTGCCACTGCATGGAAACGGCTGTCAGCAAGTTGCTAACAGCCTCTCAGTTGCAAGATCTCACAGACATTTTTTTTCAGATTACTGGTGTAGCAGCAGTTAGGTCTGTGTTCAACACAAATTTAACCAGCCATTCACCTACTTTTAAGTCCTATAATGAATTTGCATTGCACTTTTAGGTAAAGACCAAAAATCTCCCTCCACCCCCCATGGCTTACCCTGGGTTACTTTTGTGACCTTGGCATGTCCCTAAGTCTGGAGCATGGTCCTGCTGGAGTGTTCACATAGACAATGCTCTGCCTGCTCACACCCATCCTCTTCCTCATCCTTCAGAGGTTATATTCTTGAGGTCTTCCTGGCCTGCCAAGCTGGCTCCTTGTTATAAGGGCTTATCACACCCATCCTTTTCCTGATAACAGTCTGGAGGTTTGGTCACCATTGTCTTATGCCTTTCTCTCTGTAGGCCACAAGCTCAGCTGGCAAGAGCCCAATCTACTTTGCTTCCCACCATGCCCAGCCCCTGGCATAGTCTATAGCATCCCAAGGAAATCAATAAACCCAAACATAAATTAGATTGGGACAGTCCTGGGACTAACCTTTGGTGCCAGTGCTAGATTGCTTTAGGGCCCTGTTGTTTTGGCCACCTCCCTTCCTACACTGATAACCCAGTCTGGTTCATCTGGCCCCAGGGTCTCCTGTGTTCCATGGTTCCCTTCTTTTTGGTACAGAGCAAACTATAGCCCCAAGTCTAATCTAGTCCTCACAAATTTTTATAAATGCTTCCTTAGAATGTAGCTCCATGTCTCTGTGTATATACTGTATCCACAGCTGCAGCTACAGCTGACAACTAGGCAGCTACATCGAAATCAGAGGCCCACAAGGACTAAAGTATTTACTATCAGGGCCTCTGAAGCACTGTCCTATGATACAAAGGATGGAGCAGGATACTTACTGTGTACTATGGGGAAAATCAAGCAAGTGTGTCATGGTGACAAAGGGGTGGTTCAGGGTTTCAATGGGAGTGATTCTTTTATCAGCATCTATGGTCAGCATCTTCTTCAACAGGTCAATGAACTCTCGCCGGTCTGCCTTTTCTACCAACATGTCACTCCCTTCCAAATCTGTTGTCATATTCACCTGTAAGCAAACAGGGACAGGTGACCAAGGATCACAGTGTACCCCATAACCTCTCGTGATCTCTCAAACCTCTCTTCTAACTCCTGGGAGGGCAGACTGCCCCCAATGGAAGATGTGGCCCTGTGTGCTGCTAGTGCCTACAGTCATGGCTTCTCACACTGTGGGAAAGGAATGGCAGAAACAGGCACTGGGAAGGGGCAAGGAGCTAGGAGAGGCCACTGTGACTGACACCTGAAAATATACCCTAGCAATAAGATATAAACTGCTCCTGTTTTAACTGGCCAAGTTGAAATGCAGAGCTCATCACACCTCATTAAAAACAACCAGAGGAAGAGGTCTGGAGATTGGGTGCATAACAGTGTGCATGTATTTAATCCTACTGAACTTTATGTTTTTTTATTATTATTTAAAATTTTTTTGACCTATTCATATTTTATGTGTATGAATGTTATGCCTGCATGTCTTTAAGTGTACCTGTGTCGTACAGTGCCCGAGGAAGAAGAGGGCATTGGATCCCCAGGAAATGGAGTTACGGATTCGAACCCAGGTGCTAGGATTCAAACCCAGGTCCTCTACAAGAGCAGCCAGTGCTCTTAACCACTAAGCCATCTCTCCAGTCCCTGAACTTTATGCTTAAAGAAGGCTAAGATGAGAAATTTTATGCTGTGTTTTACCAAAATTAAAACAAAAACAGAAAAGAAAAACAACCCCTTCCCTCCAAATCCCTAAATGAAGCAGTAGAGAAAAGATGCAAGAAGGTTTGTTTAACCTCTGGAGGGGAAGAGAAGAGCCTGGGTGGCCAATTCCTTCAGCCCCAGTACCTCCCTTCTCATGGTTCTCTGTGGTCACCTCTAGTCAAGGAAGGCAGTGTATTTGAACACAGGATTTTGCTTCTAAGAACAAGTTTTTATTAGGATGGCCTTTTGTTTTGTGGTGCTATTTTTTTCCAAGAAGGGATCTGGAAAGCAATTTCCGTTTTCACAGACAATCTAAGCTACTAATCAACTGACAAGTGTACTTTACTCAGAATCAGTTGTTCTGGTTACACTCACCTACTGTAAGAGGTGTGTTAAGTGTTTATTGGACTACTGCTCTATTTCTCATTACTTTAAAGAAAAACTCACTTTGGGCTGCTCTGATTTTAGACTAGTTTCTACACTAAAAATAGGTGAAGTTCTAGAATTTTCTCTGAGGCATAAAGGTAAGAGAGATTTTGGAGTTTTTGTTATTGAGTTGACAGCAACTGAGTGTAGTGGCTTAAATTTGGTTTCCATAAAGCTAAGTTCAAGTCCTAATCTGTGGTAGCTATAAATGTGATCTTATTTGGAAATAGGGTCACTGCAGATATAATCAAGTTAAAATGAGGTTATACTGGATTAGGGTGGCCCTAAATCCAATAACCAGTGTTTTTATAAGAGATCTGGACACTGAGACCAGAGATGACACAGGGATAATGGCCATGGGGAGGGAAAGGCAGGGATTAAAATGATGCAGCTATAAGGCAAAGAATGCTGAGTGCTACCAAGAGCCACGAGAGGCTGACAGACACAGGGATGTGTCCACTAGGGCCTTCAGCAGGACCATGACCCTGAAGATATCAGCGTCACACATATTTAGTCTCCAGAACTGAGAGAATAAATGTGTATTGTCTTAAGCCCTCCAATTCACTTTTGTTATGGTGGCTCTAGGAAACCAATATGCTGAACCATAGGTATCAACTCCAATATAGCAATGGGATAGACTTCCTCAGCTCAGCACCAAGTGCCTATTTAGAATATACACGGCCCTGTGTTCAGTTCCTTAGTGTCATAGATAAAAACATTAGTATAAGGCTGGGCAGTACTACTTTACAAACAAGAAGCTATTTTACTATACCTATTTTTAAAGAGCTGGTGTAAGGTTTTAAAAATGTTCCATAGGCCAAATGGTTATCCTACTAAATCTGGAACACAACTGTTCAGGGTCAAAGAGTACAGTTGGGTAATGTTTTTTGACTCTTTATCACTCTTGAATTAAGTTTCACTGCAGGGTTTTTTTTTTTTTTTTGGTGGGTTTGTTTTGTTTTTTAAAGAACGGGTCTCCCTGTAACTCCAGCTGGCCTGGAATGTGCTACATAGACCAGGCTGGGTTTGATCTCCAGAAATCTGCCTGTCTCTACATCCCGAGTGCTGAGTTTAAAGGTGTGCACCAACATGGCTGGCTTGCAGGTGGTTTTTAAAGAACCTGTATTGCATTACCCACCCCCCTGAGCTTACCTGGGCCATATCATCTAAACAGTTGAAAATGTACTTTCTTGCTTCTTTTGACTTAATCCCCGTCTCTGCTTCATGGTCATCTGGTGTCTATAGAGAAAGGCAAAAATTGATTGATAATGTGGCATCTCCTAGTCACTGAGTCTCAAGCCCTTGAGCTCCTGATTCTTCTAAAAGTGACCCACACAAGAACTCCTTTCTCTATTTACCCACACTGACTCATCTTCCTTCCTCCCCACAAACACCTGTATTCACAGCCCACTCTGTATCAGTGACCAAGGAGTCTACAGAGAATATGACAGCCACATCCTTGTCACCCTGAAGCCTTCCCTAAGGTGAAGGTAAGATTCCGATGTGGAAGACTAGGAGCTCTTTTTGGCATACTTAAAAATTTTATTTTAGTTAACAAGCCCTTATACACACAGCTCTTATGCTGTTTCAGGGCACATCAACTCATTAAATGCTCTTTATAACCATGATCATTAGGATGCCTGCCTGCTATACTCATCTTACAAATGGAAACACAAGAATACAAAGTTTAGGGGACCTGCCAAGGTCCCTGGTCAACAAGTGACAGCTGGCTCCAGAGCCTGTGTTCTATGCTGTCCTTCTACCTGGGGTCATTACAAGGATATCCATCAGCCTATTGGCTGGGAAACTGTTGTTTCCACTTGTCATGGGGTTTTGGACTCATTCATAGATCAGAAGTAATTAATTCCCAGAATCCCACTCAAGGTCAGCACACTGAAAGCAGCTGGGCATGTAGAAGGAGGCTCCTGGTAAAACAGAAGCAGCCATATCCCCTGCCTAGACTCTCCCTCTTCTACCTGAAGACTTCTTACGGGATCTAACCTTGACAATCACCCTCACAGTTAGTTGAATTTCAGGTATTCTATCTATAGCCCAAGAGTCTGTTTAGATTCCAAATCTCAATCCCAATCTTGCAACTACACATGATCTTTAAACTGTATTAGAATTTGGTTGGCGTTCTGTCAAAAACAAAACAAAAAATACTAACCCAACCTATAGCAAAAAATAAATATACAACACGCTTAATGCCTTTATTAGTTTCTCCTTTCAGGAAAATACATTAATTTTAATTACTAGACACAGATCAAAGTAGAAGCAAATATGCTTCCACTGAGGTAAAACCTCCCAAGAGTTTATGGCATCTAGCAGGGCACTACACAGGCTTGGATGAATCAGATATGCCCCCTCCTCAGGGATCTGTGATGCCTGAATTGCTTAAGATGTTTTCTTTGCCTGGGAAACCCACTCCTCACATCTGTACTGGGAAAACCCCTTCTCTATCCTACAGTGCCCAGTGTGAATGTTCCTCCCTGTACTTGGCCTCTGGTCCAGCTTCTTCTTGGTTCACTTGGGTCAGTCTTGGTTCCCACTTCTCTTCCTCCCATTAGGAGGGTACTCTATATGATGGTCAGAGCTATAGCAGTGGTCTTACCCTCTTGCCTGACTATGAGCTCCTTAAGGGCAAAGTGTGACTGCTTCATCTCCCTAGCATAGACCCGTCATCAAGACTCATGGGATTACATCTGGGAATCCAGCAGTCCTCTCTTGGGATGCAGCTTCTCACATGGCAGTGAGCCAAGTGAACAGGTGCTTTCAAATATTCAGATCCAGCCATACCTTGCAACCACACTGCATCCCAGAGCCCCATTTTGCAGGCCAAATTAAAGTGAGTCCCAGGATTGATTTGCAAATGTCAAAAACTTCCCACTAATGGGACTGTATCCTTCCTTCTTTCCCAAGTATTGGGCCACTGGTGAGGAAGGGAGGGAATTTTCTTACCTTCAGCCTCCACAAAGGATACGGTGAGTCTGTGTCACGGTTGAAAAACCTAGTTGTCTTTGTCCCTGCACTTAATAAATATTCAGCTGGCAAACCCTGTGTTTGTGAAATATATCGAATCTGCAAGGAAAGATGAGAAGGTGGTCAGGGCTTTCCCTGCCACTGTATACATGGTATACTCATAGCTCTAGTGGCTTTGAGAAAAATGGAAATAACAGTTTTAGAGGGAAAGGAAGAAGTGAAAAGATAGAACTAAAGAAAAAAAAAAAAAAAAAAAAAAAAAAAAAAAAGAAAGAAAGAAAACCCAGCAAGGGCAAGAATAGGTCAGGTGAGGGAGACAATAAATTAGTACATAATAGCACCACAGGCAAGGTCCTAAGTGAAATGCTAATCCAGGATTTTCCAGACGGTGGGATGGAGAACGAGGTCATGCAGTGAATCCCCATATCACCTAGACTTACCTGATCATACTCAGAAGCTCCTGGATATAATGGCCAGCCCAGGAACAGCTCGGCAATGACACAGCCCAAAGACCACATATCAATCGCTTCACAGAATGGCAAGCCAAGGATGATCTCAGGGGCCCTGCAAAGGAAGAACAGAAGGAATCTTCAGTAATCTGGAAACGCAGGCAGCTTTTTCTGTATGAACTCGAGCTCTGACCTGGGATACCACAATCAACTGCTGGTGTGGGACCCATGATCCTTGGGGGAGGTATGTGTTATAGTGACCCCTCTACTTTTTGGCTTGGTCATTTACTTAGAAAAGGATGGAATTAGCTGGCTGGTGGCGAGGAAGGGTAGGAAGGTTGCTGTAGAACAGACCCATAGGGAACCATGTCTGTGGACACCATTACTATTACTACTGTCACACTGACAACATGAGCTGATGATCATGGCAGAGGTCGTAGGGAGTTGCTTTTGTAGCTGTATTAGTCACTTTTCTGTTGCTGTCATAGAAACACTGACCCAAGCAATTTATAGAAGGAAGAGTTTATTTGAGCTTACACTTCCGGGGGAATTACAGTCCATCATGACAGGGAGGCATGGTGGCTGGAGCAGGAGCAGCAGAAGCTAAGCTCTCATATCATCACGAAGGCACTGGAAGCAAGAGAGCAACTGGAGATCTGGGAAGGCTTAAGAACTCTGTAAGCCCACCCCAGTGATGTGCTTCCTCCAGGATAGCCACACCTTCTAAAACCTCCCAAAACAGTGCCATCACCCGGGGACAAAATGTCCAAACACTTGGAGCCTATGGTGACATTTTCATTCAAACCATATATATATATATGTCTTTTTTGAGACAAGGTCTCCCTGTAGCTGATCTGGAACTCCCTATGTAGACCAGGCTGGCCTCAAACTCACAGAGATCTGCCTGTCTCTGTCTCCCAAGTGCTGGGATTAAAGGCTGGCACCATCACACTTGACCAGAATGCCTGATTTTTAAAATGGAATTTTGAAACAGAAAGTCTACTTTCAGGAACACATAAAAACAGCTGCCCCTTCCTAAAATAAAAATAGTATCTATTTTTGCCAGTGATCTTTGTCTAAGGCATTTGTATCACAATTCCCCAAGGAAACACTGCATCACTTTTTTTTTTTATCAGATTCTAAAAAGTTAATCTCTATAAAAGTTTAATGTTACAGTTCTAGAACTCTGTTCATGAGTATATCATCTTAAGAGTCACCTAGAATTCCATTATAAATTCAACAAATGGGGGCTGGAGAGATGGCTCTCCAGTGGTTAAGAACATTTGCCATTCTTGCATAGGGCCTAGGTACAGTTCCCAGCATCTGCAAAGCAGCTGACAACTGTCCATAACTCCAGTTCCAGGGGATCCAATGCCCTCTTCTGGTCTCCATGGGCTTTGCACACATGTGGTGCACTTAACATACATGCATGCAAAACACTCATACACATAAAATAGTAAAAAAAAAAAATCTGACAAACAGTGCACTCCTGATAATAGGAATTAATGTCTCTTCAAATGATAGATAAGGTCACACACTAGAAACTTCACAGGAGCCACCTTAAAGAGAAAAGTGCCCATGTTATTGGTAATAAAAAGCAGATCACAAAGTACAGCTTCTCTTTAAGCCCTGACTAGGTAGGGCTGTGTTTTGGAGCAACAAGGCTCAAAGTCTGAGGCACAAGTGCTGCTAACCCACCTTGAGACAGGCTCAAGGTACCGCACTGATAATAGATGCATTAGCCCAACTTACTTTCTATACCAGGTTCTCACTGGATAGAGCCATATCTGGGACACTGCTCTGCCACAACTTTGGAAGTCAGGAGCGGGAGTGAGGGGTAGGGGTTTTCTTCCACCTTGGTCACCTTTCACACGAATGGCATAAGGGGAAGGAAGGATGCCATAGGAACCACTTCCATCAGCCTTGGCTCTTCCTCTTCTAGCTTAGTATTCCCTGCTCAGAAAACAGCCATAGTAACGTCTTCTCTTTTAATTTGCTTTCATTGCTAATCCTCTGTATGTATGCATGTGCACACATGCATATGTGTACATGTGTGAACAAATGTATGGAGTCCAGAAGACAACGATGAGTGTATGAGTGTTATTCCTCAGGTGCCATCAGTCCTTTTTTTTTATTTTATTAAAAAAAAAAAATCAGTCCTTTTTTTGAGACAGGGTCTCTTACTGGCCTGGAACTCACCAAGTAGGTTAGGCTGGCTGGGCAGAAGGCCCTAGGGAATCTACTTTCTCTGCCTCCCCAATGCTAGATTACAGGCACACACACTGTGCCCAGCTTTTATGAAGTGGGTCCTGGGGATCAATCTTAGGTTACCAGCTGAGCTCTCTCCCAACCCTCATTGCTAATCTTTTAATCTCTTGAAATAGTACGGAAAAACAAAACCCAAGTGTCTTACTGCAAAGTTGTGATTTTTCAGAAGTATGTATGTCTTAGTGGTGCCACTGTGGTTGATCTGGGAGGTAAAGGAGAATGCTATGGTTAGATGCTGAGTGCCTTCCAAAGGCCTGTATGTTAAATGTTTGATTCCGAGAGTGTCACCACTGGAAGGTGGAGGAACCTAGTAGAAAGTTGTTAGTTCACTGGGGGTGTGTTCCTGAAAGAGGTCATAGGACCCTGGCCCCTGATTCTCTTTTGCTTATTATGTTTGCTTTGCTATGTATTCCCACCATTGTGTGTTGCCTCAGCACAGGCTCCAAACAATGAAGTCAGCTGATCATGGCCTGAGGCTTCCAAGGAAATCTTTTAAAATTTAACTGTCTAAGGTATTTCATTAGGGTGAAGGAAAGCTGATTAACACAGAAGGGGAGTCACTGTTGGAGTCTTCTTGTCCCTATCCCTTCACTGCTGGAGGCAGCAGCCAGTGCTTCTTCACCTCCCTCCCCTCCTTTTAGTTCAGTTTTAGTCTGTGAGCCATGGTGGCTGCTCTTACCTGCTGGCATCCACGAGCTGGGGATGCCTACAGTTGTTCCCTGGCATATCCCTGCTTCATCCTCATTTCCTGTGCCTCCATTCCACCACCTGCCCAGGTCACCTGCCCAGGTCACCGGCCCCTACCTCAGGACTCCCAAATTCACTTTTCATGGTTTATAACTGATGAGATAGCTGGCAGATTACCCCTGTAGTGTTTCTAGGGATGGATTCCATTTTTAAAAAAACTACTGGTCTTAGAAAAGGGTTACCTGAAAAGGATACTACAGAGAAAATAACTGTCAAATGCTTCTTTTCTTCCTGCCTCCTATTCTAGAGTCACGTGTGCTCCCTGCCTCTGCACACAAGTGGACTCAGGTCTCTCCATGGGAGGAGTTCTTGCTCAGGCTGCCCTTAGTTTTCCCTGCACCTTAACTGTGGGCATGCCATTCCAATCAAGTTAATCAAGTGGTTTTCATGGCCTCCATGCAGGCAGCTTCCAACCTGTAGATAGCTCTCCATCAGATTCTAGTCCCTGGGGTTGTGAGTAATAGACTCTGACAGCTTGTCTCTGTTGAACATGTCATGCTGGTACTTTGGTGATGTCCTTTGGCAAAAAAACACCAGGCACAGGTTTCAGCAACTGCCTGTATGAACAGGCTCTGTGCACACTGCCCTTGTTCATCAGGAAAAGGAAACTGCAACTATTTATGGTACCATGACAGGTACATAACAGCAGAATATTTTTCTTGCTCTGACCATAAAGAATACATGCTTAGGCACTGGGCTAGATGGATGGGGGGGGGGGCAAAAGAAACAGAAGCACAGTTCTGTCCATAAAGGGCCTTCCCTTCATGAGAAACCGAGAAGGCAATATTAAACCAAGGTACCAGTTAGGCTGAGTTTTTATAAAACATGCATAATATTGGGGCTGGAGAGATGGCTTAGCGGTTAAGAACACTGGTTGTTCTTGCAGAAATCCCAGCACCCACATGGCAGCTAACAAGTGTCTATAACTCCAATTCCAGGGGATCCAAGAGCCTCTTCTGTCTTCTGCTGTCTTCCGCGGGCATTGCACAACATGGGTGCACTTACCTACACACAGGCAATACACACATACACATAAAATAAAAATAATAAATAAAATATTTTAAAAACATGCATAATATAAACAGACATGAGAAAATACCTAGCCCAGCACACAGCAAACCTCAGCAGCTCCCACTTTGGAAGACAAAGCAGAATACAAGGACAAAACAAAAATAAGCAAAACCCAAAACACACCCCTTTCCTTGTTCCTTTCTCTTCCAGTGTTGTCCAGCATCTCTCTGCTTCCCCAGTCTCTCTTAGTAACCACATCCTGGAGTTCCCATTCCCAAACTTCTTCACCACACACTGGCCTCTCAGCTTCTTCTGACACTGCTATGCTCATGTGCTATACTAACAAGACCAGGTTGGCCTCCACTCTGTCAGATCCATGGGTCAGCCTCTTAGCTCTGTGACCTAAGAGTTGTCTTTCTTCCTTGTCTGTCCCTCCTGCTTGTAATACATAGTTCTGATTTTCTAGGAATCACTTTCCCATATTTTGTCCTTCTTGCCCATTTGCTTGTGGCTGGACAGTCTTTCTGCTGGAACATCCTCTGTCCAACTGTTTCATGTTCCTTGCTCTTCTCTTCCCATTCTTGTCCTAGGTAATTGCCATGGGTTGAATTGTGTCCCCCTAAAAGATATGCTGGGCTGGGGCTGAAGCTCAGGGGTAGTACACTCAGTAGCATGCACAAGATTGAGTTCAACTGTCAGGACTACTAAAAACATACGAAATCCTAATCCAGAGGCCTCAGAGTGTAATATTATTTAGAAATGGGGTTGCTGCAGGCATAATTAGTTAAGATGAGGTTATACCATAGAAGGTAGGCCCTAATCCAATATTATTGATGTCCTTATAGGGACAGGGAAATTTGGACACAGACACCTTCAAGATAGCCACTAGAAGACCAAGGCAGAGACTGGGTTTATGTGCCACAGGACATGGAGCACCTATAGACACAAGAAGCTAGAAAAGGCAAGGAAAGATCCTCCCCTAGAGCTTTCAGAGGGACCACATTCCTGTCAGCACCTTGACTTTGGTCTTCCACCTGCAGAATCGTGGCAGGGTACCTGCTGTTTCAAGCCATGGGTTTTGCAGTCCCT